GGTAAAATGCAGTTTTTGGCTTATATCTCTGAAACCAAAGCATTAAGAGCAAATCTGACAGTAGGTAAAATTGTTTATCAGGTCAAGATCTATCTGCCCTGAAATTTTCAGATGAATCGGACAACCCGTTGTTGGGTTGCTGCCCCTGAATTGGTAATTTTAAGGAAATTTTGCCATTTTTGGTTATTATCTTGAATATTATTATAGATAGAGATAAACTGTAAACAGCAATAATGTTTAGCAAAGTAAGATCTACAAATAAGTCAACTTGACCAAAATGGTCAGTTGACCCCTTAAGGAGTTATTGCCCGTTATAGTCAATTTTTAACCATTTTTCGTAAATTTTTGTAATCTTTTACAAAAATCTTCTCCTCTGAAACCACTGAGACAAATTTAACCAAACTTGTCCACAATCCTCATTAGGGTATCTAGTTTAAAAAATGTGTCCGATGACCCCGCCCGCGAACCAAGATGGCCGACATGGCTAAAAAATAGTACATAGGGTAAAATGCAGTTTTTGGCTCATATCTCTGAAACCAAAGCATTTAGAGCAAATCTGATGAGGATAAAATTGTTCATTAGGTCAAGATCTATCTGCCCTGAAATTTTCAGACCAATCAGGCAACCCGTTGTTGGGTTGCTACCCCTGAATTGGTAATTTTAAGGAAATTTTGCCGTTTTTGGTTATTATCTTGAATATTATTATAGATAGAGATAAACTGTAAACAGCAATAATGTTCAGCAAAGTAAGATCTACAAATAAGTCAACTTGACCAAAATGGTCAGTTGACCCCTTAAGGAGTTATTGCCCTTTATAGTCAATTTTTAACCATTTTTCGTAAATTTTTGTAATCTTTTACAAAAATCTTCTCCTCTGAAACTACTAAGACAAATTTAACCAAACTTGTCCACAATCATCATTAGGGTATCTAGTTTAAAAAATGTGTCCGATGACCCAGCCCGCGAACCAAGATGGCCGACATGGCTAAAAAATAGTACATAGGGTAAAATGCAGTTTTTGGCTCATATCTCTGAAACCAAAGCATTTAGAGCAAATCTGATGAGGATAAAATTGTTCATTAGGTCAAGATCTATCTGCCCTGAAATTTTCAGACCAATCAGGCAACCCGTTGTTGGGTTGCTACCCCTGAATTGGTAATTTTAAGGAAATTTTGCCGTTTTTGGTTATTATCTTGAATTTTATTATAGATAGAGATAAACTGTAAACAGCAATAATGTTCAGCAAAGTAAGATCTACAAATAAGTCAACTTGACCAAAATGGTCAGTTGACCCCTTAAGGAGTTATTGCCCTTTATAGTCAATTTTTAACCATTTTTCGTAAATTTTTGTAATCTTTTACAAAAATCTTCTCCTCTGAAACTACTAAGACAAATTTAACCAAACTTGTCCACAATCATCATTAGGGTATCTAATTTTAAAAAACGTGTCCGATGACCCTGCCCACGAACCAAGATGGCCGACATGGCTAAAAAACAGTACATAGGGTAAAATGCAGTTTTTGGCTCATATCTCTGAAACTAAAGCATTTAGAGCAAATCTGATGAGGATAAAATTGTTCATTAGGTCAAGATCTATCTGCCCTGAAATTTTCAAACCAATCAGGCAACACGTTGTTGGGTTGCTGCCCCTGAATTGGTAATTTTAAGAAAATTTTGCAGCTTTTGGTTATTATCTTGAATATTATTATAGATAGAGATAAACTGTAAACAGCAATAATGTACAGCAAAGTTAGATCTACAAATAAGGCAACATGACCAAAATTGTCAATTGACCCCTTAAGGAGTTATTGCCCTTTATAGTCAATTTTTTACAATTTTCATAAATTTTGTAAATTTTTGTAAATTTTTACAAAGTATTTTCCACTGTAACTACCGGGCCAAGTTCATTATAGATAGAGATAATAGTAAGGAGCAAGAATGTTCAGTAAAGTAAGATCTACAAACACATCACCATCATCAAAACACAATTTTGTCATGAATCCATCTTTGTCCTTTGTTTAATATGCACATAGACCAAGGTGAGCAACACAGGCTCTTTAGAGCCTCTAGTTTTGGAGAAAAGGGGGGGGGGGGGGGGGGGGGGGGGGGGGGAGGTCAGAAAGAAGGAAAATTTTAAACGAAGAATATATTAATGTTACTTGGCGAAAAAAATAATAAAGTGGCGAAAAATATATTGTTTTGGCGAATGAGGTGGCGAAAAAAGTAATTGACCCAGGGGAAACCTTGAACTGGTGCGCATGACTTTCAAACACGTGCTTACGACTGTCAAAAATGGTGTTCACGACCTTCAAGATATGGTGTGCATGACTTTGAAACTGGAGCGCATGACTTTTAAACTGTTGCGCATGACTATCAAAATGGTGCACACCACTTTCAAACTTGCGTGCACGACTTTCAAGATGGTGTGCAAGACTTTCAAGAACTGGCACACACGACTTACAAACTTGTTCGCATTACTTTTAAATTGATGCACACGACTTTCAAACTCGTGTGCACCAGTTTAAAAGTCAAGCACACCAGATTTTGAAAGTTATGCACACCAGTTTTTAGATATCGTGTGCACAACTTTTCAAACTAGTGCGCACCAGCTTTAATGTCCGGTAAACGAAAATATTTCTATTTACTTGGCACTTATGGGGCTCCGTAAGGGTCTCCTCTCATAATGACATATACACTAATCCGATAAAATTCATAAAAATCAAAATATAACTACAAGGGTATACAAAATGAAACTACGCTATAAAAATCCTCATGTGTCCTTGTTGCATCTCTGGACCAACCCACATAAAGAACACTTAAAGTCAAAAATCATATACCGAACTACGACAAGAGGCATACGATCAAATGGAACATAATACTATAGTAGTACAAAGACAAATAAAGATAAAACTGTAAAGTAGATAAAATGCTACACAGAGTCAACACCTTAAACCTTGGTTCATTAATTGTTTGCGCAGGCACTGATAACATTTTACAAACTAGATCTGAGTATCAGCTGCAATCTCTTGAAAATTGTATGAGTTCAGAAATGTAGACTTCATAGGTGGATGAAGTTGGTAAATCGCTGCTAAGGTGAGGAAATTTTATAATTTCAAAATTGAAATCATCTCGTTTGTCATAGACACTGGTATTAAAAGATGACCGCTGTAGTCAAATTCGGGGTATATGTTTAAAATGATGCAGAGGAAACTGTATATGTGGTGTCTATAATATCTAGTTCATGACTATTAATGGGACCAAATGAGAGAAGTTCGTATTGTTAATGGAAAGAACATCTTCAATACACCTATGTGTAAAATTAGATGATAAAGCTTATTTGATCTAATATAAAATTAAGAAGATGTGGTATGATTTCCAATAAGACAGCTCTGCACAAGAGACCAAATGACACAGAATTTAACAACTATAATAGATCATTGAACTGCCTTCAACGATGAGTAAAACCCATACAGCTATAAAAGGCCACCAAATGATATATGTAAAACTATTCAAACGTGAAAAATAACGGTCTGATTTATGTACAATGAACGAAAAACAAAAATGATATACACTAACAAAAGACAACCGCTGAATTACAGATTCCTGAATTGGGACAGGCACCTACATGTGTCGGGGTTAAACTTGTTAGCGACCCTCATTCTAACCTGGGACAGTGGTGTAACAGAACATCAATTGAACAAACTATAAAATTCAGTTGAAAAGGGCTTAACTCATCAGATAGATACAAAGCAAAAACAAGTAACAAAAACACAGAGTGGACTTATACATCTCCATTACCCTTTCGAAAACAAAAATGCACACATTAAGATATTTTCGGGGGAAAACCACCAGTCTCGTTTCCCTCGTTTGTGGATGCATTACGCATTATGTATACACAATATTGACCTTTCGACCGTATACGCTGCTGAAGGTCTTATTATCTTGGATGCCTAGTTACGCGTAGCATTGCCTCATAAATGAAAACAGCTCTAAATATGGGTAAAAATATATATATCACCAACAAAAATTAAAGCAATGATTTACGTTCTCAGAAGGTAATTTCACACTTCAACCAATTACAAGTATATCAATTGGTAAACAAATGCTGTTTTCTGATCATTAAGTCTGGTCACGCCTTGTCTTTCACGATCCAAATAATGCGTTGAATGATCTTTCACGATCAATTTTGTTAAAAAATCAACAAAAATAGACTTTTTCAAAAATAATATGAACTTTTTCAAGTAATAACATAAATATATTTTACTGAACTATCTGACATATACAGATTAAGTTTTAAATATCTCATGATATATTGGAATGTGACTATTATAGTTACAAAACGTGATTTTTTTCTTAATGATTTTCATAGGATTGTGTGTCGCCTTTTGTGTTTTCTTAAAAAGTACTGCATTTTTTCATTTATTAAGTGCACAGTTTTATTAAGGAAGTTGAATCATTTTGACAGACATAACTTTTTTTTCTAATTTGTTCCACCTTTTGAAACTACAGCAGATTGTTTCATAGATTTTGAAGTAGAATTACACTTAATTGCATTCACGATCCGATACCAGATCTTTCACGATCTGATCGCAATGCTTGACCACCTTTAGTTATTCTTTCATGATCAATTCTCTCGATAAACCGAATGACACCCGTGTTTTGTTATAGCTTGTTCTTACAATCTATAAAAACAGAAGCTGCTCTGTTAAACAGTGTTCATTTCATCCTTTGAATTTGTGTGAAATATAAAGATTGAACAAAAGCACACAATCAATAAAAAGATATGAAAAATCCTGGAAAGGAACAGTTACTAAAAGACTTGAAAAGGAAATAAACTAATGGAAACATAGAAGCTGAAAGTTATAAATTTTAGATGGTTGTGAAATCTTATCCTTCTGTGGTGAATGAGTTATAAGGATTGCAGAATGATTCATAACCTTAAAACATCCTTTGACATACATTTTTTTCTCTCAAATAATGATGACATATTTATATTTCAGGAAGGTGATTTTAAATTTCTGTCCAAACTGGCAACAAGATTTGATGAAGTAATACCATCAATTCTAGGAGGTGTCAATGCAGGAATAAGAATGATTAAAGATTTGATAGAAGGAAAAATAAATTTGAATGATCTGGTATTAGCGTTTGTTGACTCATTAATGCAGCTTCCTAAAAAGGTATTTAAAGTAATAACATTAGGACTTTTCAAGAATTGATTGATGAGAAGCCTCTCTAAGAGTTGTTGCAAGGGTTTTTAACATTCAAAGATTAAATTCTCTAAAAATATTCAATGATCCCATTCTGACTGAACGTAGCAATATATTTATCCTACATAGTCAAAATAACAGCCCTCTTCAGTAAGTTGATGCCAGATGGGAGAATTCTAGGTGCATGACTATATTCCGATACCCAAGTAGACCGTGGGGTGTTTAAAATCAGTAATTAAAGTATGCCTCAACTCATTCAAGAATAAAACGAATCAATTATAATACCCTCACTCAAAAGAGGGTGTAAACTGGTTTATGTCTGTCCCTCCGTCTGTATTTCGGTCTGTCCCCCTGAATTTGGCATATTTTTCTCTGGAACTACAAATTAGAGCTCCCTGAAATTTGGTACCAAGCTTTATGTGAGCATGTTATACAGTGTAATGCATTTTCAGATTCATTCCTTAACCACCTCCTGTTTAGCAAATATTTAAATATATTCTTACTCATAATAGCAAAAAGTGGAAATACATATATATATATATATATATACATGTATATATTTATTTTATGTCTAATGCTTTAAATTTATTTATTTTTTTCAAATTCAAGGTAGCAGATTTAAGAAGTGTTTCCATAAAAGCAATGAAAAGACTTGGTGAATATGATCCTAAAGAAATGCCATCTTTTTTAAAACCTGTAAAAAATTTGGTAGCCAGAGTGGAGAAATTTCTCAATAACTTGAAAACTGATGTTCGTGTATTTTTTAGTGTAAGTATAATTGATAATGCTCTAGAATGTTATTTTATTTAAAGGCATACCACTACAATATCTCTATTTTTACAATAACATAAAAATTCAGCTTTATAATTCTATAATAAATGCAAATAAAAACATGGCTATAATTATTTTTTTTTAGGTAAGGCCAAATAAAAGTATATATGTGGTTCCAGTTACATCCAAAAAAAAGGGGTTGGTAGGTCGGCAATTTTATTTATTTTTTTTTAAATTTTTATTTTGGATTGTCAAAATCCGGAAAAAAATCGTGTGTTTACCGAGTCGGATTACGGTATTATACATGTCCCTACCGGAAGTTCGCCATTTTGCATGTGTATGGTTGTAAAATAAACAGATATGTTACGTTTTTAGTTAATTTTGTTGCATTCTGTTAAGAATATGTTGCATTTTAGCCATAGTGGATACTTCTGATGGAAATTCAGATGACAGAAGTCTGTGAATTTAATTATTTAAATTCACATTCTTCAAAATTTGATCGTTTGAAAATTTATTTTTCAGAAATGAAAAAATGAAAAAAAAAGTTCTAGGGTCAGGGTGTTTAAACTAGGGTCGGTAGGGTAACTGGAATCACACATATACTTTTATTTGGCCTAACCATTTCAATGGTCAAGGTTGAAGTCATAATGAAATATACTGAAATTTTTGCAAGAAAGTTGATATCAAATGCTAAATCAAATACTACAAATGGGATTGAAACCTTACTTGGGAGCATTGTCTCATATGATGAAAGGAAAACTATTGAATTTCCAGTCAATACCTCAAAGGTCAAGGTCAAAGGTATTAAAAATGTAATTTCACTATGGATTTTGATGTCTAAGGTCAAGGTCAAATTTGCTACTTAAAAATAAGATGAACATTTGTTCAAGAAAATAGTTTTTGGATGTTTTATATGGGATTGCAGCCTTACTTGAATATGTTGTTGCATATAATAAGAGGATGTAGAGAAAGTCTCAAGTCACTTGGTTTAAGGTCAAGGTAGTTCAGAAACAAATAGATTTGTGAGAGACAATGTTACTGTCTTAAATCATTATTCATAGGGGGCGAGGGGTATGTAAGCTTGTTCACTGAACCTGTACACATTTTGTTTAGGGGCCAGCTGAAGCCCGCCTCAGGGTGCGGGATTTTCTCGCTGTGTTGAAGACCCATTGGTAGCCTTCGGCTGTTTTCTATCCATTGGTTGGGTTGCTGTCTCTTTGACACATTCCCCATTTCCATTCTCAATTTTATCTAGATGGACGAGTGGTTTTAAGTAGTCAAACCACTGTATCACTAGCCTGTCAACACTGATGTTGTGAGTTTGAATCCTGCACCTGACAAGTGCATAGGACTCCAATCATAGTTGACTAGGACTGTCAGTTTTCCTACAGAAGGATATGGTTCTCTCCGTGCACTGGCTTCCTCCACCAAATTGACCAATAAAAACTGACTACCACTTCTAAATAGTTAATAGTGATGAAAGTGGCATTCCACAGCAATCAATCAATCAAGCTTACATTTCATTCAGTGTATTGATATTTTTGTAATTATGGCCTGTGAGGTGATAAAAAATACCTGACCTTCTGGCCTATCATCATAGCATAGCCTACCTCATGAATGTATTGTTCAATTTGTTCTTGTTCTAACAAAACAAAAAATTGCCTTTACACTTTAAAAAACAAAAATCATTCAATTTTTAAAGAATCTTAAAAAATGTAACATTATACTTGCAGCAACTATATGAAACAGTCACCATAACAATTCCTGAAAATGCTAGAATTATTTTCAAGTCTTTAAAGGAAATTGTTGAAGGACTCAGTACAATCATCAAAGATCCTGTGTCGTCTATAGCAAAAGTAGGAAAGGGAGCAGTACAGTAAGTAATGATGGTTTTTATATGTATGTCAGTAGACACATTATTAAGTCATACTATTGTCCATGTGTTAATCATTTTCATATGTTGTACAATAAAATAATGTTGCTTTGACTGAATCTTTTAAAATTTTTACCTGATATTAGAATAGTCTTTCAATTTTGACAACTTTTACCTTCATGTCAAATTTGCACAACCTAGATCATGATAAATGTGTGAGACAATATATATGTCTCAAGCCCTAAAAACAATGAAAAATAATGAAAACAAAGAGAGAAAAAACTGTTTGGTTATATGTTTTTTTTCACAGCTATGATACTGGGGATAGGCATAGTGTTTTAATTCAATTCACAAAGTGCATCTTTACAAACAAAATCTTTATAAATATACATAAACAGAAATTTTGATATATGTAATAGATCACAAATTTTAAGCTGCTTAATGTCTTTATATTTTAGAATTTTTATGTCAGTTAAGAGACTTTTAGAAGCCAAAAATAAAACACAAGAAGCTCTTTCAAGTCTTAAAGGTTTGTAGATAAAATAGAAAGAGAATGAATGTAATCTTGTAGTTCATAACAAATAAGAACAAAAATTCACAAGAAGCAATTCATCATATACACTATTTAATATTAGAGCTAATTTCCTAATGCTTGTAGAGTAAGACTTTGGTTGGCTTGCTTGCTTTGTTTGTATAAACGTTAGCTCAAGCATTGTAATTAAGATTTACATCTGCAAACAATATAGACAGGCATAGTTAAACCTGTGTCGGTTAAATTAGTCTATGTGTTCCTTGTTGTCATAACTTACTGTTTTTGTATGTGTTCATCATGGAGAGTAGAAGAAAAGTGTATGAAAATTGAATAAACCACGCTCGTTTTGAAAAGATAAACCGCCATTTCTAATGTATCAGGTGATTGGCAGTCTATGAGAAGTTTATTTTTATAAATACGTTTCTACTTTGTAACTTTTAAACAACTGTTTAAACCCGTTCAAGAAATTATGATTGAAAACATGATAATCCCGTAATTGTAACCTGAACGAATTTAATTAGGAACAAGGTGAACCTGTCACTGATTTGTTTTGACATCGATCAGACCCATTGATTTAGGTGTGATAATCCGGATTAACAGCTAGAATCAACAAACAAAAAATAAAAAGTAATGAGATTTTAACAATTTATAACAGCACTAATGATGTTAATGATAATCATTTGACTGATTCGTAATTACGTTATTGTTTCAATCAGAACATTAATTTGGATATCTAATCTTGTCCTTGATACTCAAACAATTTATTAAATTTGGTTTTATAAAAACAAACTTAAATGTAGATTTATCTCAATCTAATAAAATTCTTATTCATTTGTCAGAATATTTGCAATTTCATATTAATTACGTATTCCGTACGGAATTCTCCGACATCGGTGTCCATTTAAAAAACTTCCTGTTTACTGATAGACTTCCTGTTTGCCGATTTTGGAGCTGTAACTTTTCCAAAAATGTCTATGAGTCTTATACGAACCATTAACTTATTTTCTCACGTTTCTTGGACCATAAAGGGGGTGCGCACTATACACAAATGCGCACTATACACCCCCAAAAGACGGTATATATTATATTTAAATTTGATTTAATGTTATCCCAATTACAATTGTACAATATACAAACAAAGCAAGCAAGCTAACCAAAGTCTTACTCTACAGGCATTAGGAAATAAGCTCAAATTCAAATATATATGATAAGTAACTATGTGACTTTTTGTCATCCATGCCTTTAACTTAATTAACTTTAAAATTTGAAATTTGAGGCCAGTTGAGTGTTATAGGGATTTAAACTTTAAAACAAGAGGGGAGAAATATAGTATTGCAAGAAATCTTTTATTTCTGCCATGTGGAAGATTTTTATGCCCCTGTAGCTAGAGGAAGGGGGCACTAAGGTTTAGATAAATCCGTCTGTATATAGTCCAGAAATTGGTTTCTGTTTTTTAACTTAGGTTTGCCTCAACCAAATGTAATGAAACTTGCACATAATGCTTATTATCACCAAACACATATCATATTTAGATGGCGTAACTATCATCATTCCCTTGTCATGTTCCTTTATAAATTGAAAAATTATTGAATTTGCTGTTTCTGCACTAAAACTTTAGCTTGCCTTAACCAAATATTATTTAACGTAAACGCAATGCTAATCAACACCAACTACAGATCAAATTTGAATTTGGGTGGTGTCACTTTCACTGTTCTGAGAGTTGTGTCTCTTTATAAATGGAAAAATTGCTGAATTAAAGGTTGGGTTATAATAAGTACATGTGTCTCTTGCACATTTACAAGTGGTGGCATTTTTATCTCATGGACACTTTCTTCTTTTATTTAAACTATTTCAGATTCTAAGCTATACTGGTTGGAACTGACTGAAATACAAGAAATTGTTGATCTCTCAGTAGTAGTGATGAATTCTGTTACAGCTAAAAGTAAAAGTTGGATTGAAGAAAATATTAAGGAGGCAGAAGATAATGTTAAACAATTTACTAAAGGAAAGATGTCTATGGTAGGCTCTGGTAACATCTCACAAAATACATCATACTTGCACCATCTAGCAATAACTCCATTAACTTACTTCAGAACTATCTCAAATTTTTATCATTACTAATTATAAGATTTTTACATTTGGTTTGTTGCCCAAAAATTTCTTTTGGAGATTGTAAAAGAAATTTAATTTATGGGAGGCTATATAATTTCAGGGGAGATAACTCAAAACCAATATACATTGGCAATGTCCTCCAGTGTTTCCAGATGACTTTATTTTAAATGTCAATAACATCAATGACTTGATGACTGCTAAATGGAAGGTCAATTGATTTCAGGATGTAAAACAGAGGTGGGGTGAAAACACTAAAAAGATTTGTTTATCCTGATTTTTAACTCAAATCTTATTCAGTTGCATGGAATAAACTTGACAGCATTGCTTTGAAAAAATATGCAGCTATGCATTTCATAGTTTCATTGTAATTTACACATGTGGAAATAAGATGATTTAGGGTTAAAAAAATGTATTCTGCTTACAAAAAAACTCTGTTATAAGCATTCAATGTAATATCCATACAAAAGATATATAATAAAATGATTTCATATGATTTGCCTAATTTCTATTTTACTAAGTATTATATTAATATTGTATTTCTTTTTTAAGCGTGATGTAAGACATAGTATTATAAATGATATGAAGACCATGGTGGATGAACTGATGTCCTCCTTACAAGGACTTACTGGTTTTGCTAATCCTTTCTTAAACAAGTATCAGGAGTTCTTCTCCTTGGTCAAATCTGTGAAGGAAGCATATGCAATTTTGAAGGAAGGGTAAATGAATATAAAGAAATATTTTGAAACTTTTGGAATTTTGTTTTATTGAATCGATTTCTAAAACCTGTTTTCAAAAATTGCAAAAGATGTATTTTCATATGGTTACATGTAAATAGTCTTGATTGTGCTTAATTAATGTACATTTCTTTTAAAATATTTGATAAATATAGTTTCTTACCTCATCATTGATTCTATAGTATACCGATATATATACATATTTGATTTATTTTTATTGTAATGTTTATAATTCCTGTTAATAATTTTAGTTATGAAAAAGCAGTGTCCACAATTGCTTCTATCTTTGGTCCAGGAGCACACCCAAGTTTCCCTAATATCACACGTTTAAAAGGATCTGGATGCAACTATGATGGTTTTTATCCTGCTGGTAGTGAGGGAGGAGTTGACCTAGAAATTGAACCTGATAAAACAGTTAGTGTTTGTTGTTAAATGTTTATGATGAAATGCATGGAAAGATTTTAAAAAACATCTAATACAACCATTTTTGAAATAATGTCAGTCAGTTTTGTTGAAGACTCATATGAAAGATTTATTAAGTTAATTTTCAAATTACATTCAATTACAGTGGGATTACTAGTGCAGAACTATAGAAAGTATTCCTTAATTCTTTTGATGAAGGGAAAAATAATAGTTTATTTATTTTCGTCAACATACTTAATAAAAGTTATTTAAACCACAAATTCAGAATTTATTTAGGTCATCTGTTTATTTCTTAATCTGTTGATATGATATATGCTTGCAAATACCTATTGTCCTTTTATTAATTTTACAACAAAAATGCATTAGGTGTTTGTCAAAATGATGAAATGTTAATTTTTGCTGTGCATTTGTGAAAGATCTTGATAATACATATTCTAAGGATATAAGTTTTTTTTTCCATAAATCAATTTTGATAGTTTCTGATGCTTGTAAGCAAGATACATTTTCTTGAAATTTGCCAATTTTGCATAACTGAGTTTTGAGCACACTAGTCTTTTTCTTGTCATGGACACTTTTAATAAATATTCAACCATATGTAGATGTGCATATTAGTTACATTTGTCCCCCTGCCCCCATGTGTAGTCCAGTATTTTAAGCACTCTTACAATACAGTTCTTGCCAGATTTTTTATGGAATTTATATCAAAGGTTTTATGTGCATGGTTTATTCGTCCCTCAAAGCATGCTTAAAAACCTTTGAAATAAAAATAATTTCTCTCACTAAATGTACTGTTTTGGGAGTATCAGTTGCTTGTTTTACTGGCAGGTACCTAAGTAATCTTGGTTTCCAGGTGATCAAGTGAAAACTTGTACTGCCTATCAAACTCTTAGATTGCTTGTTTCACAATAAAACCTCACAGCTTAATTCATGACAGTAATTGCACAATGAAAATAAGTACAATTCGATAAATTTTTCAATATCCTTTTTGTGTGGATTTAGGAAAATTTGTATCATGGATATTTTGTTGTTTTGGCAAGGTCTGCAAACAAGCCTATAGAAAATTTTATTTTGTTGAACATTTTTAAATTTGTGGTATTCTATACCCAAGAAATCCATCAATATTGGTCTCAAATGAAGAGAAATGAATTCACAGTATCATTATTACCGTCTTTTTAGCAGGACAACTTTGCCATTATACCCCTATTAAAGGTATTGCTTGTTAGAATTTATGTTATGATATGGGGTATTGCAAGCATGCTCACTATGGCTTTTTGATACAATTTAGGAATTACAAAATTACTTTTAACTTGCAGTTAATTACACATAGATATACAGCATTTAACAACTTTTATTATTTTGAAAAAATGATACAGTATTTGAAAACTTTAAATTTGAAAAAAAAATAATATATATAATTTGGTTCATGTATATTACAGGTTGTCGCACCATTTCCAGGATTAGTAATGTTATCTGATAATGATAATGAAGTAGTAATTGAAACGTCGGGAGGTTTTCTGAGAAATATAGAGATAACAATAAGGAATATACAACCAAACAGTAATATTTTACATCCTTCAGATGAACTATTTATTGAACAGCAGGTAAGTTGACACATAGAACAATTAGGAGGAGGCTGTAGTTACATATATTATAATGAAGTTTTGGAAAAATCTAGCTGAATATTAACAAGATTTGACTTGGTCTTTTGATGACAAGATAGATCATAGAAAATAAAGATGTAAAAATGCAAGATTCATCAAGAGATTGTACTTTTGTTTGTGCATTCTTTAATATTTTGCTTACAAATTAAATTTAAATGCATGATAGTTATAGGGATATGATCTCTGAATATTGCCGATTGGCATGTGACCATGCTGTGTTTAATCTACAACTGAGGTCACATCATAGGTTGCATGCATACAAATCCAAATTAGATTGACAATAATTTGTTGCCAATATTGTTTTAGCTTATTGACAAAATGTAACCAAGCTGACTGCTAATAATAAATGTTTAAAAAAAAACATGCTTTTATTTTGTTCTTCTTACATTGTCAAAATTGTAGTTAACAGACCTGCCAACTATCCCGATTAATGGGGGATATCCCCCATGAGAGGTGTTGACCTGAATTTTGAAATTCATTATTTTATAAACTGAGCACCTCAAAACAGGCATGCAAATGAGCTAAAAGGGTATTTAAGCCCATGCATATTCATTCAAACAATAATGTAGTAGATTAAAAGCATTTATGGCAATAAAAGAGAAGCACAAGTTCTCCCATGGAGATTTTGAAAAGTTGGCAGGTATGAGCTAATGCAGTTAAAATTCATGTTCTTCATTAAATTTTAGGTTGCAGCAGGAGAACCTATTGGAAAAGCAACTCAATCATCTTGTGATAACCATATTAAGGTGATATTCCGTAAAAATGGAGGGTATATCGATCCGACAGGATTCATGCAAAAAAGAAAAATTGAACTCCAACCTTGGCTTCAAAAATGTGATGATTACAAATTAGTTTTTATGGTGAGATCACAGTGTATTATATATATATTCATTTATTTTGTCTTTTTATTCTCACCTGGTCATATAAGCTTTCTCATTACAAAGTGTCCATTATCTGTTTACTAGCATGTTTTAACCTTATCTTCTAAAACCTACTGGCCAATTGTAAATGAACTCAGCCACAACCATCCTAAGGATCATTAGGGCCCGCCGAATGGCGGGTCGCCCTATAGTGATCAGTCTGTCCGTAACAAATTGTGTCCACTCTATATCTAGAGAACCGTTATAATTTCATACTTTATACTTGACATGTATATTAACCAACACCAGAGGGTGTGTCATAATGTTTGTACAACTTCCTAGGTCAATGGTCAAGGTCAAAAACTTTGGTTTCAGTTGACAACCCCATGTCCTATGGTAAAGATCGTGTCCGCTCTATATCTTGAGAACCGTTATGATTTCAAAGTTTATACTTGACATGTATATTAACCAACACCAGAGGGTGTGTCATAATGTATGTACAACTTCCTAGGTCAAAGGTCAAGGTCAAAACTTTGGTTTCAGTTGATGTCCTATGGTAAAGATACAAATTTTTTACCACACGTTATTCACAGTGGGCCTACAGAGATGGCTCCCATCTCAATGATGTCTAGTTATATCTAGTTTCAAATTTATGTGATACTCCAGTTTATCAACTATTAACATAGCTGTTACTAACAATGAAATAACATGGCTGTTTCTATTGGAAAAAAGAGGGGCAAAAATCTTTTCCTCATAAATTACAGGGGCAAATGCGCATTACCTAACTTTTCCTGAATGTTCCAAAGGAAATATAGTTTAGAAATTGTATCCGAATGTTTGATCCATTAACAAACATGGCTACTGTTACATGGCTAGAAATAGATCATAGGTGGGTAAAATACAGTTTTTGGCATACATCTCAAAAACTTAAGCAGTTAGAGGAAAACTGACATTTGGAGTTGTTGCCCCTCGAATGTCTTTTTTTGCAAAATTTCTCTTATAACTATAATAGATAGAGAAAAATTTTAGATAGTAAAAATGACCAGAACAATAAGACAGGGCTTCCAAAATTATTTTTAGCCAGCCGGACATTTTATATATTATCCCGATTTTAATCACTTAAGACTAAATAAACAAAAGGCAATTATGGTAATCAGTTGCCGAGTTGGCCATCCCAATGATTGACATTAAAAAAAAAAACGATATTAAACTTTCTTTGATTCAAATTCGAAGTTCTGACGTAAACTGTTAAATTGGCAGTGCATCATTCGAAGTGTGCAACATCAGCGTACTTATATCTGCCTTAGACTCTTTATTTGTGCAAAATAACGTTGTCAAACACTTTGCTTTCCTTTTTAAACTAATACCGGATGTTATCTTGACAATGGTAAAACATGGACCAGAGACAGATACGAAAATTCCGTGTACGTTTGCAAAGCATGAATGAGTGTAAGTAGCTCTTTCTTCGTTATTTCTTTAAGAAAATGTTTGAAATAAACGTGAGATAAAGGTATCAATGACAATTTAAGCATTTTTTTAAGAAATGAGAATGCATAATTAAATTTCACACCTGCGCACATGCGCACACGTGTACTAGTTCAAAGAACGTGGTTATGACGATTTTTCATTTTCTCCTTTTTAATTTTTTCATCAAATCATATTTGTGAACGTATTTCTGATAATTTAAATCTTTTTGACTAAATTAATTAGATGCAAACTGCTGAAATGTAAGAAAATAACTTTGAATAGTCCGATCAATATTCGGTTCAAAATAGTTTACCTGTCACCTGAACAGGTAAATTTCAGCTGTTCGACAACTAATTAGCCTTGATTAAAATGAGAAGGTATTAAAGTAAGGGTTGTTTTGATAGTACTTAATGATCATGTCACTTTTATGACCGGAAATGTGTGGCTGTTAAAGGCAAAAGGTTGGGTCAAAAAGATCGCGAATTATGTTAAAATTACCGTCTCTTAAGAAAGCCTTGAAAACTGAAAAGTAGATGACCGTTTCATGCTTTGCCCAGCCAGACTTTTACCGGACATTATAAAAATATCCGGAATATATGACCGTTTTGGAAGCCTTGCAATAAGATGTGTCATTTCATTTTGTTCATTTGAAGTCATATGAAACGAGTGACTGGTGAAAAATAATGTTAATCCAATTCTTGAACCAATGCATGCATATATCATAAACTTAGTCTTAAGTGCACGATTTTATCATTTTTTACGCATCCATATCGTATAATCGTCAAAAATATATTTCACTCGGTCAGCACGATTTTATCATTTTTTACGCATCCATATCGTATAATCGTCAAAAATATATTTCACTCGGTCAGTGCTGATGTGAAAATATGGCACAGAGTTCTCGAAAACCGTCGTCCCGCCAAAAATCGACTAGGACCGATTGTTGCGTATGTAGTGTCAGTCCCATGACCGACTAAAAGTTCGTGGTTCAATGTTTTTTTTTTTGCAACTTTTTGGTATTCAGATACATTTTGAACTGGTTTGCTCTGCAGACAAACCTTTGTAGTATAGCTCAAAATTACAGTAATATTTTTTATTAGGAACCAGTTCAATTATAAAAATGGCGGCAGATGTGAAAACAGGAATGAATGTCGAGGATTCAGGCCTAAAAATGGTTTCAAGGGATCCGATCCTATAACATTTGACGCAATCGGTTCTACGGATGTTATTTTTAAATTCATGAAACAAATTTCAGATGACTATATGGTCATTTTGTCACACATGAGACATGGAAGGTCGAGAGTTTCTGATGTTTAACAAGTCAGTCAAGTGTGTTTAATAACCATATTTTTTTTCGGAATTTCAGTTCACCAGAAAACTTTTGGACTTATTTTTGAAATGATTTTAATAAAATTACTTGACAGTTTACAGGTTCACTTATATTTGAGTTAAAAAGTAATATACAAAACATAAGTGATAAACATGATTTTTACAAACTTATTAACCATAGAATTAAAACTTAATACTCCTTTAGTTTCTCTAAGGCCAAATAAAAATATATGTGACATAATAGCTAATGTGTGGTTCCAGTTTGCCTACCTACCCTACGTTTTAGTCTTAATAATAGCCTACTCTAAAGATTATTTTGTCATTTTTCATAACGACATAAGCACTTTTTAAGTCAGGATGTTGCTTCCATAAACTCAATGTAAAAAAAACCTAAAATAAAAAAAAATCCCTACCTACTTACCCTATTTTTTCAAGATGTAACTTGAACCACTTGGTTTTGTACACCGGTCTCCTGTGGATCCTGCCTTAAATTTTGATTGATACTTACTCCAATCTTTCAGATTATCAAAGAAAAACTTGCTGCTTTTTTCTAAACACATTAAGGGCATGAAATTTAAGGATTAAGATGGAGCTAAACCAGGAACTAAATTAAAAAGAGTACTAAATTCTAAAAATAAAAACAATTTATGTCAATGAAATTACAAGTAAGATGAAGAAAAAGATGACAAAAATAGAAGAGCTGCATGAGGAATTAATAAACTTCTTTTTTCATTTAAATCACTGACATTCTATAAATGTCTTTCAAAGTAATCAAATATATAATTTCAAATGTAATGAATGCGACATAAACGTTTAAAGCTTAAAATTTAATCAAAGTATGGAAATAATGCCATGGCCAATTATTATATTATACAGAGACCAAAATGTATAATTAACCACCAAACCTGCTAAAACATAACATGTCCATAAAATAGGATGGAGTAAATGTATTGAGCCATTATTGATGAAACCTACTAAGTAATAGGGTTAAAATCAAGTGATATTGTAGGACCACCAGAATTTTGGTCTTGGTGGTTAAAATCCACCAGGAAAAAAAAGATTTCGAGAACTCTGATGGCAGCAAATTAATTGTCGTGTTTTGAAGCGGAAGTTTACCGATTGTCACCTTTGTAAACAATCAACAAAGAAGCATAGATATTGAGGTCAGCAGGTGTATAACATGTACAATAAGATATTGTTTATTTCGATGACTGCGCAATGTTTATGTTTGTTAACTCCTTCTGCCAATTTGGTTTTCCCCTTCGCACTTGCATATTGCGATCACCGGATTTTTACTCGAAAGGTCACGCTGAGGTCACTGCATACGGAAAACATTTCGGTGAATTATTGTCTGGGAAGCCAATAATTAAAAAAAGTAAATTTCTTCTAAATTTGGACAAACTAAAGAATTTTCTTCAGAAAAAAGTATATGTACATAAGTTTTATAATAAAAACTAGCCATTTAGTTATAAAAAACATATGCATCAATTTTATTTAATTTGAAGTTTCATATGACTTTAAAAGTATAAGCAAATCAATAATCTTTGTTTTCTGTAAAGTACTCTTGATATTTATGTTTATTTTTGTTGTTGGGTGGCTGTCTAATTGAAGTATATACCATATCTCCCAATATCTATGCTGTAAAGGGAACTAAGAGATCACAGATTACTCTCATCTAATTTATTTAATTATTATATTTAGGATGTTACGATTGGAGCAGGCTCAGTTATAGGTGCACTTGGGAAGCTCCTTAAAGACACTAGTCCTAGTTTGGAAAATGAAAATGCAGAAACTGAGGACATGCCAGAATTAAGTGGTGATTCTCCAGGCACAGATGTTGAAAAAATCAAGGGTATGATATCTAAAAAAGTTAGTTGTATAGGCTTTACTCTCTAACTTAAATTGTTTGTAAGAATATTCAGGCAAAGATACTTAAATATGATAAAAATTTGCTTTTCATCAGTCTGTTTGTTTTCTTGTTTAAATTGTTTTACATTTTGTTGGGGCCTTTTATAGCTTACTAGATTGTGTAAGTTTTGCTAATTGTTGAAGCCTGTACAGTAACCTTTTGTTAGTTACTTACATCATTTGGTCTCTTGTGGATATTTGTCTCATTGGTAATCATACAACTTCTTTTTAGCTCACCTGGCACATGGAGCCAAGTAGGCTTTTCTCATCACTTGGCGTCAGTGGCGGATTCAGAATTTTCATAAAGGGGGGCCACCAGACTGCCTTAGAGGGGGGCCGCTCCAGTTATGCTTCAGTGATTCCCTAAATAATCAACCAAATTTTTCCCACAAAAGGGGGGCCTGGGCCCCCCCTAAATCCACCTCTGGGCGTTCATCATCCTTTAGTGTCATTAATTGTTAACTTTTATAAGAACTTCTCTACTACTACAGTGTCAAATTTAACCACACTTATGCATAATCATTATTTGGTTATTTTCTTTAAAAATTGTGTCCTAAAATTAACAGCAATAGGAGATTAACAAAAAAGGGATTTTTATCATGAAATATATTCTAGTCTACAATGTTGGTGAGCAAAAGAGGCTCTTTAGGGTCTAGTTATTTTTGTATGTGTTCAATGTGTGCAAATTTTGACTTTTAGGGTCAAATTTGCAATTTTGACCTTGATTTTACAGTTCACTGAAGATGGACACATACTAGCATGGTGTCCTAGGAATGTGTATTCTTGTTTCATCCCACTTTGTCTATTATATAAATACACTTTTCAAAGAATGTATTCTTTCTGTGCATATTTCATGGTATGTAGTTGTATGATGATGTGTAGCAAAAATTTTTGAATTGGAAGGTGTTTGATAACACAAAGCTCAACTTAACATGGAGCCCTTGTGTATGTATTTATCTCTTGTGTTTGATATTTATGTATAATTTTTTATACTTTTATTCTTGATATTTTTTTTAAGAAAACAGTAATAGCATGTTTGGAAAGCTAAAAACATTTACCAGTGGAAGTGGAGGAGAATCAGATGAAACTGATTTGTCCAGTGGATTTGATTGGTCTGGTGGTAATGGTGTATCAGAAGGAAGTTCAGGGTCTGGTGGATTCAATATTAAAGGTAAACACTAAATTCTACCTGATATGCAGTATTTATGGCCATAATTATCTCTCTTACTACTAAGGTTTCAGAATGGGACACATAAGTATGCTAATCTGCTGGCGTCAGCATCATTCATAAACTATGTTTATTGACTTTTTTGGTCATGTGTATTTTTCTTTGATGAGAAATAGGATAATTATATTTGGTATATTGGATTCTTGCAAGGTCTACATGTACATCAGACAAGATTCACCTGACCTCAACCCTATTTTATGATCAGAAATCTAGAAGATATGATTAGGTCAGTTTCTCAGATACTGTAAGCAGTAAGTCGTCTTATTTTTGGTGTATGAAATGATTGAAAGGTTAACATGTCTGACAGCAGGTTTCATCTGACTTGACCTCATTTCCATGGTTCATTGGTCAATGTAAATGTTCTGTGTTTTGGTCTGTTTCTGTCTGTAAGGTAATATAAAAATAAGAAAATGTGGTATGAATGCTAATGAGACAACTTAATCCACCAAAGTGTAAAGTGGATGGAAGTAATCATAGGCAACTGTACTGCCTTCAACAATGAGAAAAACCCATATGGTATAATTGGCTATTTGTTTGTCAGGCAAGTATCATCTGAACTTGACGTCATTTCATGGTTCATTGTTCAACCTTAAAATTCTTGAGCAAGTACAAAATTTGGTGGTTTTCTCTTTCAGACAGGTAGTATATCATGGTCACTTACCTAATGGGACAGTTGTTAAAAAAGTTAATGTCGAACTCTGGATGATGAAGTTTAATAAAACAATGTCATTGATCTTATAATTTACATATTGCTCTCCACTCATATTAATTGGTTATTGATATATGTATAAATTTAAACTGTTCTTCCTTTATGTCTATATTTAAAGATGCATTTAGTGTTTTGCTGAAGAAGGCAAACAGTTTCCTCAAGAAGTTCTCCCTGAAGAAAATAAGAATGGGAACAATTATTGATTTTCTTGACAAACTTGGAATGGATGAGTCGAAGGAACAGATGGCAGGAGTAATAAAAACAATTAAGGTTAGAATATTTTCAATTTTCTGTACATACAGTCAAACATGCCTTCACGGTCACCTGCCTCTAAAGGTCACTTTCAGACCCTCCCAAATGTTTTTCTATATAAGTTAACTCCTTTCAGTGGTCACCTGTCTAATGTGGTCAGCGGTCACCTAATTTTCACACAAAATCGTCATTTGAACTTTTAACTAAAAGATGGCTATCTTACAATTTGAGTGAGTGACAAATTCCATTTTTTTGTGATGGAAAACTTCAGAAACTATTCTAATCTAAACCCCCCGCCCCCAAAACAAAAAACAAATCTGCCAACTTCAAAGAACCATTAGATAAATGGAAAGAAATAGAGGTTGCATTTTAGTCACTATGAGTAGTACATTGAACGGTTTGAAAATATTTAATGCTAATTTACATTGTGTTGTAGAGGTTAATAGACAATAAGCCTTGTTTCAACCCCCGGCAAGCCACTGATGATGAATTAGATGAGGAATTATTAGAACGAGGTCAGAAGACTGGTGGAAGTAGAGATCAGATGATTAAAAGACTTCTTACAAATAGCAATCGTATGTATTTTTATCTCACCTATTTCTTTTTTTTCTTTGTTTGTGTGTATAAACTCCATTCACCAAGTTTTGGGATGAATTGATGTTTGTTTAGTCTCCAGTGAGTAGTCATGGTCTATTGACTTTGAAACTTTTGCTTAGTTTTACATGTATTAGTTTGTGATTAGATCAGTTTAAGATGAACCACTAATGTTAAGTCATTGATAGTTGGTATGCAAATACCAAAAGTCTCATTAATCCATGGAGATTATATAGCCCCACCCCCTAATCAAGGTTCATCGACTTTGTAACTTTTACATAATTTACAAGTTAATGTTTGTGTTTAGGTTTGTTTAAAGGGAACAACTTATAATAAATCAATGGTATTTGGTACTCAGTTTTATAAGCATTGGCATTTCTCATTTCCTTTGGGTTATTTGGTCCTGCAACATAAATCATAGTTCATTGACTTTCAATGATTTGCATAGTTTACATGTTTAGATATTGCCATTTTGATTCAATATTTGCATTATAGTATCAAAATTACAAAAAAGGAAAGACATAGTGGTCAATGGTATTTGGTATGCAGTTGTATTAGCATTAGCTCATTTCCGTGGAGATTGTTAAGCTCTGTACTTTCAGTCATGGTTCATTGACTTTTAATATTTGCATAACTTACATGTTAAAGAATTGCTATTTGAATTTCACATTTGCATTATCAAAATAACAAAAAGGCGAGACATATCCACGTGTCAACAGTTTATTGTTTTATGTTGCAAGAAAATTATTTAATTTGTTTTTTAGAATGTCCTCTACTGTCAGCTTTGCTTCCATCAGATTTGTATTGTACTTTTGATTCTATGTGTATGGGTGTGGAATGCTGTGTAAACGTGAAAGTACTGGTTTTTCTTCGCACTGTAAAGGTATTTGCTAGACTTGATCCAGACAAGATGGACTTCCATTTTGGAGTTGATGAGTATAAAGGAACTGTTTCTTTTGGAAGTGGATCATTGACTGATGGTAGTATTTAATTAACTCTATACAGAATTTACAAAATCGGCACCCACAGCCATTAAAAAAGTTGACTCAATTAAGACTCCATGCTGTACTTAACATAATGACTTCATATGTGGTCAGCAGTTTGACGGTGATGAGTTGTAATATATGAGCAATTTTCTTCAGATCTGCTTCCTTTTTGCCAATACTTTTTTTTTTAATATGATGTAGAAAAATAAATATTTTTGTCACACTTTCCTCAGGAATTACTGAATAGAATTATGAACACAACAACACATGCAATTTCTTGTTAATTTTGAATTGTTGCTATATTATTCTGTCAGCATCGGTCAGAAACATTTATTTTTACCTCTATATATTTTAGGAATAGAAAAAGACATTGATACGGGAATAGAAATTTCAGTTGCTGGTGGAATTAGAGTTATTCTGAGGTTAAAAGTGAAAACTATCTACATATCTATTATAGGATTTTGGGGATATTGTCAGAGAAACAAAAATCCAAGCCCCAAAAAACTAAAATGTTGAGGAAAAATGTACAATCTTCAGTGACAGGGCCTCTAAAGAGTCTTTATTCATTCCATTCTTATTTGTACATCAGTGACAAGGTAAAGTGAAAGCAAATGATAGGAAAACCAAATTTGTAGTAAAAAGCCTGTTAAGACAATGCATGGTATTAAACAAAATACTTTGATTTCTTTTTATGCCCCTGCGACACAAAATGTTGAGGGGCATATTGATTTACCCCTGTCCGCCAATCCGTTTGTCCATCCGTTTGTCCATCAGTCCGGAAAAAGATACTTGGTTTGTCCGGCGATCTTTTCCTACAGTTTTTGAGCTACAGCTTTAATATTTTGTAGGATGTTTCTACACATAATAGAGGTGTGCTTGTCCACAGGATTTTGATTTTTTTTTCAAATATTCTCAAAATGCCAGGTATTTGGACTTGGTCATTTTTTTGTACTAAAAGTCAGAAAGGGGGATGTTAGATATTCACAAAAACCAGTAGTTGAACTCAATTTCCTTCTTACTTGCTATATAATTGAAAACAAGGTTTGTACTACTACAGTTTAATGTCCCTAATGCGATTTTTTAGTATTGTCAAATATTGCCAAATATTTATAAAAAAATCAATACTCACTGCAGGAAGTTGAACTTGGTAACCACTGGAAATAGAAAGTTGAAAGCTTTTGGCTGGACATTCAGTCCTGCGAGTGTAGACATACAGAATGAAGATAAAAGATTGATCATCATAAATAGTGTTTAAATTCATTTCTTATGGTTTAAGGCGGGGCATCATTTGTGTCTTACAGACAGCGCAACAATTTCAAGTTGTATTTCAACATCACTATTTGTCAAATCTAAAGTATGTGGAACTATACTCATGCATATGGCAGAGCAGAGGGGGCATCGTCCATACCTAGTTTTATCTAAACATGAAAAAAACATGAAAACAATCTACCCTAATCCCAAAAGTCCTACTATTGTACTTTTTAAGTAAAAAATATAATAAAAGGTGAAGTCAATTATTTTTTTCACTTTCCTAATACTCTTTTGATATAACTGTACTGGTTTCTGGTTGAACATTGGCTGATACTTTCATGTGCAGGAGTCAACCAATGTGGCCACCATTGATGGTATTATTGCTTGTTGGATAATATGTAAAAAAAAATGCTAATCCAATTGGGTCCAATTTGACAGTAATGTCAAAGATATGGACCAAATGCTGTTCTTTATTTATTCTGATAGTTGGAAAAAATTGATATAGAAAAATAAATGCGGAAAAAATATGTGAATGCATACCTGACAACTTTTGAAAATCCCCATGGGGGTTTTAGGCGTAACAACAATTTCATAGGTTACAATTTTTTGCGGGTTTTTTTCGCGCACTGTTTTGTGCTCTAGAAAATGTGTCATATGTTTTTTTTATATGATAAACTGGTGATGAGCTTATAAGCCCTTTTTAGCTCACCTGGCCCTGGCCCAAGTGAGCTTTTCCCATCACTTGGGGTCCGTCGTCCGTCATTAATCTTCTCCTCTGAAACTACTGGGCCAAATTTAACCAAACTTGGCCTAAATCATCATTAGGGTATCTAGTTTAAAAAATATGTTTGATGACCCCGCCTGCAAACCAACATGGCCGACATGGCTAAAAATAGAACATAGGGGTAAAATGCAGTTTTTGGCATATATCTCTGAAACTAAAGCATTTAGAGCAAATCTGATGGGGTAAAAATGTTCATCAGGTTGAGATCTATTAGCCCTGAAATCTTTAGACGAATCAGACAACCCATTGTTGGGTTGCTGCCCCTGAATTGGTAATTTTAAGGAAATTTTGCAGTTTTTGGTTATTATCTTGAATATTATTATAGATGGAGATAAACTGTAAACAGCAATTATGTTCAGCAAAGTAAGATCTACAAATAAGTCAACTTGACCAAAATTGTCAATTGACCCCTTAAGGAGTTATTGCCCTTTATAGTCAATTTTTAACAATTTTTTCATAAATTTTTGCAATCTTTTACAAAAATCTTCTATACTTAATCTACTGGCCAAATAGAATTAAAATTAGCCACAATTTTCAATAAGGTATCTTGATTGAAAAATGTATCCGTTGACCCTGCCATCCAACCAACATGGCCGCCATGGCTAAAAATAGAACATTGGGATTTACTATAGAAGTCTAAGGGAAAATTGTAAAAAAAAAACAATTTCAAATGGTCACATCTTGAAAACTAATCCAAGTTCAGACCTGTATCAAGCTTGAATATTGTGTCCATTTTTGCCACAACTGTTCAGGGTTGGACCTCTGTGGTCGTATCCAGCTGCGCTTGGCGAAGCAGTTTATTATCATTTGGTAATTCAATAACAAGAATGACAAAACTGCATCTTTGAATTTTGTCAATCAGCCATGCTTTTCTTCTTAAGCTGTGTAAGAACCTTCTTGCAGATGAAAATTTACTTTGATAAACAGACAAAGAATACATTGTTCCAAACAAGTTCAAAATTTAGCACGTTTGCAATAATCAAGAGAAACAATGAAAAGTTCAAAATCAGGAACAATAAATTTTTTTTGTGTAGAGTTTCACAAAATCGTATTTTAGAGCTTTTTTCTCAATCTATGAGCGTGCAATTGTGGCAAGGGGTCAAAATCATGTAGTTCACATCTAAATCCTGAAAGTTAGCAGGTATGTGAATGTTATATTTATACATAATTTTTAATTTTAGTGTTAAAATCAGATTAGTGGAAAAAGTATTTATTGTAACTGCTGGGTTAGGATTTTGTAATGTAGACGATTGGAGTAACTGCTTGATTAATATTGAATTCCTCAAAGATGCCAGAATACCTTTTCCGTCCATAGATGCTAATGGAAAATTGGTTTGGCCTAAAGGTATTGTATAATCTTTTAAAATGAAAATTTGTTTACCTTTTACTAATGATTTATATTCTTACATAAAATGGCTGTGTCTGAAAATTTTAGTTGCATTTTTCTCCAGATCTATGAATTAAAGAAGTTCCTAAAATTTGGTATCAATGTTCATGTTAGTATTCTATGCAGTGCGATGCTTTTTCTCATTAATTTCAAATTCCCTTTTGTATGGAATACTTATAGCAGAGGTGCCATTAGAGAGCAATAGTTTACATTACATCTTTATATATAATATACTTTTGTAACTTCTCATTATTAAGATACATAGTACTTTATTCAGATTATCCTTCAATCCCACCTTGTAGCTATTGAATCTTTCTTCTTTTGTTTCTTCATTCTACATTTTAAATTCCTGATTTCAGGTATCTGAATTTCATCTATTATTTGAGTCTACTTATCACATAATGTTAGTGTAAGTAAGAATTAAGTACACCATGAATAGAGTTTGTATTTTATACTATCAGGGATTGATATTATTTACTTTTATAGAGTTTTAAGCTTAGTGCAATTTTTTTCAGTTGATGTAAGAGAGGTATTCAATACAACAAAAATGATAGAGGATTTCAAGAAAAAAGCTAAAGCAGTGTTGAAAAAAACTTTGGAAGACATCAAAGACAAGTTAATTGAAATTTTGGGAATAAAAGAGGTACTTTTTACTTTTAATAGTGTAGCCATGCTTTCCCTTGCCTAGAAAACTTATAACCGCCCTCTATTAGTTGCACTTATGAAACTTTGTTAGCTCTATTGGTAGAGGGGTGACTTACTGTGCAATATGTCCCAGGATTGGTACAGTAGTAATTTTGAAAGACAAATCATGCTCTCCAACAACAAAATCCATGGTGAATAAAAGAGAGTATAGCATGGGTTTGTTGTGGATATTGTTATTATGGTATAATGTCTTAAGGTTTGGGAAATGTGGCAGTGCCCCCCCCCCCCCAATTGGCTTTGTTGGTGGAGTGGTTGGTTACTGTGCATTGGTTCAAAACCATGACTGGTACAGTAGTAATTTTGGGAGACAAGTCGTGCTCCCTGGTTACAAAATCTTTATTTTTTTCTAATCCACACATCTTTACTTGTTGAATGATATGAGCAACAAAATAAATATTAAACAAGAAATGAGATACCAAATTGACAGCTAACTGGGTTTTCTGTATTTTGAAGGTAATCATTGTAGAACTTAAGCTGACAGCTTGTACAAATGAAATTAATGTATCCTAATGTATGGCACTTTTGGGCTTGTTTGGCCTGCCACTTTCTGTACCTGTTTTCCAATCTATAAATAATATGTACTGAATGGTAAAAGTGAAAAGAGTTGATTTCAAACATGGCCTAAATTTCATTATAAGTAACAGCATATTTAAAATTTGAAAAGCAATGGCTGAACAGTTTTTAAGTAATTACATTGAAACGACACACAGCTCATTTTTCCAATCTACTGAACTGTAAAAGTGAAAATACAGAATATAGAACTTGACCTCAATTTTCTTATATTATCAGTAACAACAATTTAAAATGTGAAATGCATTTAATTTGGTTGAATGGTTCATAAGTAATTGTACAGAAACGACATAAAGTGCCATTTTCCAATTTATCAAGGACAATAACTCCTGAACGGTAAAAGTGAAAATTGTCATTATCGAAATTGACCTCCATTTTGTCATCAGTAACAACATATTAGAAATTGAAAAGCATTGATTAAATGGTTCATAAGTTTTTGTATGGAAACTGTTGGCAGCTGCCAGCCTCACACTTGCTGCCTGCCCACTGTACTTCAACATTTAAATAACCATATTTTTCTGTTTGAAAACTGTTTAAAAACTTAATAAGCCATCACCAGATTTTAAAAAGATGCTGAAAATGGTTTATTTCTAATTTAACATGATTCATGACATTCAAGATGGCTGTGATCAAAGATCATATTTGTTTATAGGTACTTCTTAGACACTTTGCTTAAGTCAATTACATATGGACTTTTTTTTTTTTAAATTTTCTGCATTTGAAGAAAAATACTAATGAATGTATTTCAAAATTATGAATACTTGCCGAATAATGGACATTGCCACAGTGTATATATAATATTATGAATACCATTTTTTAGCTAAAATATTGAAATTGCTTTGCTCTTTGCCTACAGATAACCTGTTGGGTCTTCATGAAATAGTCTTTGATTTACTGTATATTAAATAAATTGGAAAAAAAATGCGTCTCATTAGCAAAACACATACCGTTCCCTTGTTTTCTCTATAAATTATGTATATTGTGCAATTATTTATTATGAAGTCTATCATTACAATAATATTTTTCCAGATAATTGGTTATTTGACTACCACCAAACCTTGCTCCAGACCAAATAATCTGACATATACACAAATAACAAAGGAACTGAAGGCAAGGGGGCTTAATTTAACAGGAACGAGAGAAGAAAAAGTTCAACGCATCTTACAGGATGATAGATGTAAGGCTTAATCTCTATAGAATTTATTTTTAACTCTTTCTGTACAAAAACATATTTTTCAATGAGTGTGTGATAGTTTACATTCTAACTTCTAATACTTCAACAACCTCAAAGATTGAAGTGTTTGGAATACTAATGTTCCTGATTCCATTCAACTTTTTTGACCTTGTTCCATACATCAATTACAGATGATGGTGTGTCAACTTAGTAGCAAAAAGAATTTTTAACTCCATTGAGTATATCTGGAATTGTGCCCTTGAACTGAGAAAATTTGATACTGCTAAGTAAGCGAATTGCTGACAAAACTCCTGCTACATGCCTCATCAGATGTTCAAGAAACTGTACATTTTAAAATCCTAACATGAAGATGGACATGCAAGTGGGGCACTGTGGTCCATCGACAAATGCCAGAGTAATTCTCCTTTGAACTTTAGGCATGCAACTCACTTGCTTTGTTAAATGTTATTGAAACTTTGTACATATTTGTCAGATCCTAACATGAAGAGCGTCACATTGAAAGAGCAGCCTAAATGTTGACAAAGCCCAGATTTATGGGAGACTTACAAAAAGTTCTACTGAGCTATCACCATTTTAAGTCACTGTTAGCTTGGGTCCAATAAAAACTGTTCTTCATAATTTCGTATTTTTTAGCCTGTCAACTGAATGGAAAAACTTGGATGTTGCCAGAAATTACCAGCAGTACATTACAAGAGCATATGTACTACACTGTGTCTCCCGACTGTCAGCGTATTGATGCTTGTGTTGACTTTACTATTGAGGTTTTCAAAACCGTGATAACAAAGGCTTTTAATGCCTTTGTTGAAATAGATTTTTGCAGCTTTGTGTTGAAATATGGTTTTGAAGGAATGAATGATTCAATAATACTCATAGATTATAATTGGGGTAAGTTGAATTATCTCTCTGATAACCTAAACACATTAAACTAAATGTATTTAATCGAAAACATTGGGGTCATTTATTTAAACATTGTGATCAGCTTGGGTAATCAATTTCTAAATGTCAAACCTTAGTAAACACTTGACATGCATTACATAAACTATTATTTATTTATTAGTATTGATAGCTCTGACAGGGCTTATTGAAATACACATTTTATTACATTACATACCTCACCTTCATTAATTTAGATATCAGTCCACTCGCTGCATTATTCAACTGGAAACCAGCCAGAAAAAAGAACCATACCCCTGTGATAACCTCTCCCACCTGACTCATGCATGCAATAAACATTCATCATTTCTTTTCCGGTTCCATGGTTCATGCTGCATGCTTTTGAGAAGGAAAAAGTTTTTTGCTAAACCACGTTTTTTCTTTACAGAAAAATTTATAGTTGTATATTGTTTTTGTAATTTGTATTATTTATTTGTTTTATTCGGATAATTTATTTATCTTATCTGAATAATGGCTGATAAAACACCAACTTCGTCAACGCAAGAGGTAAGTGACACACAAACAAATGCCAGTGGTTTGTTTTCCCCTTGGCATTCGGCCACTCATTCGGATGAGTTTTGGGATAGAGGTATGGAGTTTATCCCTGGTGTTTCTGGTGTGTGTCTGGAACAGGACCCAGACCCTGTTAGGACTTTGCCTTTCACTTCTGGTGCTAGTCAGTTGAGGTTATCTAGGCCTAGCAGGGTATCACATACCGTAACTAGGCCTGCTGAGATACCAATGTCTCCTGTTACTTGCATGACAAGTATGCAGGAGACGCTACCAGCTGGCATCAGGAGTGACCCCTTTTCCAGGACTAGGTGGCCTATGAATTTTGCCCACCCTCCCATGCCTATGGGTATGCCCAACTTGCCTCCTTATCCTCAGCCCTTCGATCCGTGAGGCCCCTCGTGGGGGTGTCCAAGTAATCACATAATCACAAATTTTTTCCCAATATAATCACAATATCATTAATTATTTTTTTAAGCAAGATAATCAAACAATCAAAAATACAGTTCTAGATTATCAAAAAATCACTATAAAAACAGCCAAGTAATCACATAATCAAAAACCCCATGAGGAGGCTCATCCGTATTAGTCTCAGTCATTTTGGTCTGGTCAGGGGTTGGTGGAAGGCCGTCTTCAGAATCATCCTCTTTTAAGGATGAGATGAGGACTCTTACCACTTCTATCCATAAGATACAATCAACTGTTAATGCAAAATTCACTGAGTTTGGTAACAGGCTTACCCTTATGGAGTCTAGGGGTCTGTCTAAGGATCCTCCACAGGACCCTCCTAGACCTTTTAGACATCTGGTGGAAGATGATTCTGTTTCCTTGGCTCCTAGAAGCCAAGAAGGTAACTTTCTTGAAGACCAAGGTGCTTCTTCAGAAAATGACAGTATTGGGAGCACAGAGGGAGATGCTATGATTTCTAAGGAACCTTCTTCAGGCAACCTCTGAATGTCTTAGGAGTCTAGTTTATTCTATTCGTAGGGATATGTTGGATATGCCCATGTCTTCTCCCCCAAGAGTTTTGTCTGCCCCTTCAGATTTTATGTCTTGCTCTGGTTTAGTCAAGCCAGATTTGAAGGGGTATCATTCTTTTTCCGAGTCGGGTCATTTCACAACAGCTTTGTCTTTGTTAACTCGTCTTTGGCTGAGAACCATGCCAACACTAGCAAAACTGGTGGAAGTAAGTTCTCTGGTTTCGGACCTGCCTCTTACCAAGGGAAATGCAGATCTAAGGACTTTGAGATTCATGGATCTTCCTTGGGTATGTCAGCTCCTATCTGTGATAAGTCATATTCTGGTTTACTGGGTTCGAAACCTGTGGACGGTCTCAGACTTTCTCAGTCCTCATATGTACAGTTGGAGAATAATCTGAGGTGTCTTATGTTCTTGAGACAGCTGAACACTATTTGTCGGCAGCTGGGTCTCTTTTAAAGGACAAAGAGGAGGAATTTTCAGACTTGAAGTCTATGCTTCTACAGGTAGACAATAGTCTTAGAATGTCTCAATTCCTTCTTGGCACCTTGGCCAATTTTACTCTTGCTAAGAGACAAGAGATTCTTGCAACATCTACTCCAGCAGAGACTTCTCAGTTCTCATCTGTCTAAGGACAAGTTGTTCTCTGTTTCCTTGGATCAGCTACAGGAAGAGGTGAATAAGGCTTCTCCTGTTGTCAAGGTGGATGTTAAGGTCACTGATGGGAAAAGATTTGTCAAGACTACTCAGATTAACAAGCCTTCTTCCTCTCATCAGCCCAAGGCTTCTTCTTCCTCTTCTTCTTCACAGCCTATGAAGAGATCAGCTGTTTCTCATCCCAACCTTTCAGGTGGAAAGAAAGCCAAAGTTGTAAAGGGTAAGAAGCAGGGTAAGTGATGTGTTGTCCCCTCCGTTAAATCCATCCCCACTGGAAGAGGAAAATTATTCTACTCCTTTTCCTCATCTTCCACTTTCTCCTGTTCCAATCAATCTGTCAGTGACACAGGATTCTCAAAAGAATCAGTTGTTACAAGACGAAGTGAACATTCTTATTCAGAAGGGTGTGTTGGAGGAGGTAAATCCTCCATTTCATCTAGGGTTTTATTCCCGACTGTTCTTGGTTCCCAAGAAGAACGGGAAAATGAGACCGGTTCTAGACTTTTCTGTTCTCAATCAGTACCTGGTGGTCCCACATTTCAAAATGGAAACCAACAGGTCAATCAGGTCGACTCTTCATGCAGGAATTTGGACGACCTCTCTAGATTTGATGGATGCTTATTTTCACATCCCAATTTCTCCCAAGCATTTTTTGCGTCGGGTATAATGTTTTTGACCCAACCGTCTGTCAGTCCGTCAGTCCTGTTCTTGTCATCGCAACTCCTCTGAAACCACACAACAGAATTTCATGAAACTTTATAGATAATAAGGACATACTATGAAGATGTGCATATCGACAGGAAATAATGATTCAATTTTTTTTCTAGGAGTTATGCCCCTTTGCACTTATGTTGGGACGTGGGGTATGTGAGCATGCTCACAAAGGTTCTTTAATTTTTACCAGGATTTTTCAGAATGTGGTGTCTTATCTTCATAATTAGGCGGTACTCATTCACTCCTACCTAGACAATTCACGAATCAAGAATCATTGCCGATCTCTTCTGGAGGAACACACCGATTTGGCTATCCTTTTACTCCTCTGAGACTGGGTTTTTTGATTTCATGGGAAAAATCAGAGATAATTCCCAGTCAGAATTTCATTTTCCTGGGAGAACATTTTCAGACTGGTATCGGTCCAGAAGAGAAGGTAATCAAGGTACGTCAGGTAGTCAGTACTCTGATGCAGTTTTCAACTATCCCAGCTTGTCAATTTCTTCAGCTGGTGGGTTTCTTGATTTCAATAATGAATGTCATTCCACTAGGACATCTACACATTCGTCCAATCATGGAAGTATTATATTGACAGGAACTCCAACGAAAAATAAGAACATTCCCATCCCACTGATTTCTTTAAGAAAATAAAAGGTTCCGACTCAGTTTGTCAAGTACGTGATAACTCCTTTGTGGGGTATCTGTGATGCCGCCTTCGCCTGTTCTTTTAATTGAAGCTGGTCTTATCACATGATTTGGTATCGATTGTCTTATCTACCTACCAAAATAAATAAACACGGAAACTCCCGTGGTTATTTGTGAATCGCCACATGAATAACAACACCTGTTTCCGTTCAATAAATGAAGAACAAAGCTGAAAAGATCGAAAAAACTGGTCCATATTTAACAGAATGACATAAGAAAATTAACTGCATTCGGAAAGAGGGCAAGCTTATTTTTAGTTTTGTTGAGTATGTTTTAATCATTGGAACTTGGAAATCAGGAAATATCTGATTAGGAAAATTACATGATTCGGAAGTAGAGTGTTTGCAAAAAATAATGTGATGCACGTGCAGTGTGCCGGATGGTGCCAGATAACTCAAATTTTAAGTTAAAGATTGTAAACTTTTATCGAGTGTTACACAAATATTTATGGTTTTCTCTATCGTAAAATATCGTAAAATGTTATTAACTTATTTATTAAATATGTTTTAAAGACTAAAAGAGGTTAATAATTACACGCATGTGATGACCTCTACATAGCAATATCAGGTTATGAGACATGCAGATGAATCGTTACACCTTTTATAATAATTCCAAAGTTGTAAACAACCTTAAACATTCAACCTAGTCCGAGATTACTCTGACGTCTGACAGATTTATTTTTACGGATGGCTTTAAATATTTCTGGATGCATTTAAAGAACGATCAACATGATGGGCCCTAAGCAGTTTATTTTTTTTTATCATGGAAACCAAATTAGAATTTATTTATGTGTTTAAAAGCTTAACAGTTCTGAAACATCTTACACCGTATGCTAAAGCAATTTATGATTTTGTTTCTTGTTTAATTGCATGAAATATTTGCCATTGGACTTTCAGTAAACAATAAATCAAAATATTTGATATTTTTTCAGATCAAAGCTCTTTAACCCCATCCCCCCACCCCGGCCATCTTTTGGATTAAATTTTTGTTGGAAATTCTTTCATTAAACACTTCAGTAAAATATTTGTCAAAGTTAGCAGTAAAACGCGATAATAATTACTGATAAAAACTTTTCCGTTTACTTTACATGAGAATTTTATGATTTTCAAGCCTAACATGTATATAACAGTTACGCGTGTTTAGCCAACGGCCCTCTCATGAATAAAAATCTTACTATTTTAAAATTGATTGTAACTTAAACTGAAATGTTTATGGCTTGTGAGTATTTTAACTCTTCAGTTTTTTTTTGTTTGTTTTTTTAAACGGTGAAAACAGTCGCGGGGATTTTGTTTCTTTTCTTTTTATTTGTTTTTAAACAGCAAAACCCGTAAAAACAGACATTATATTTGTCATTTACATGGTTGGTAAATGTCATTTCCTTGACAATTAAGTACACATCCGGTTATTTCGGTATGTTCCGTAATTACGATCATTCACGATGTTCCAAAAATTTGATCGGAACCCATGCATCCATAAGACATGTCGAGTTAATTAACAGATACTTAACAATTTTGCGGCATCGCACTATAAACGTTTGAAGTCCGCTTGTTGGAGTTCCTGTCAATATAATACTTCCATGGCCCAATCCAGTGGTATCTGTCGGAGTTTTGGCATCCAATTTCTCAGTTGTGGGAGGCACCTGTTCCAATTCTTCCTTGGTTGTTACCTCATCTTCAGTGGTGGCTTCAGGAAAAACATCTTCTGAAGGGAGTTTTGTTGGATCCTCCAGACACCAGCTGTATATCTCTGTTCACAGATGCGAGCTTGATTTGTTGGGGAGCTTATCTGGAGGGCAGAACAGCTTCAGGTCTTTGGTCAGGTGCTCAGTTGGAGGAACACATCAATCTTCTAGAGATGAGAGCTGTGTTACTTTCTCTCCTTCATTGTCAGGCTGTGATTCAGGGTCAGTCACTTCTGGTTGCCACGGACAATTCCACAGTAGTGGCTTATCTTCAGAATCAAGGGGGAACTCACTCCTTTTCTCTGTATCGTCTGAGCAAGGAAATTCTTCTTCTGTGTCACAGTCTCGATATAATTCTGTCAGTGAGACATGTTCCAGGCAATCAAAATCTTCTGGCGGATGCTCTTTCCAATTCGCGTCTTCCAGTGAACACAGAATGGGAACTTCATCCATCAGTGTTTCAGGAGATCATTCTTTGTTGGGATCGTCCTCGTATAGATCTTTTTGCCACCAGTCTGAATCCCAAGTTGGAGACTTACGTTTCCCCCATTCCAGACGAAAAAGCTTGGGCAGTAGATGCTATGACCCTATCTTGGAAGGGAATGTTCAGTTCTCTCTCAGTTACTGTGCAACAGTTAGCAGATTTTTTCCTTTATCTTTTTGAAGAAAAAGGTTACACTCCGTCTACTATAAAGGGATATAGATCTGCCATAGCCAGAACTATATGTCTTCAGGAGGCTCAGATATTGGTGATAATGAGTTTTTGTCCTTGTTGATTAAAAACTTTTGCCTTGATAGACCTCGTCAAAGGCATTTGGTTCCTTCTTGGCACTTAGGTTTAGTCTTGAAGGTTCTTCAGTTTCCGCCTTTTGAACCTTTGCATTCAGCCTCCGTCAAATATTTATCTTATAAATGTTGTTGTCTCATAGCTTTGGCTACTGGTCGTAGAAGGAGCCATATTCATGCCTTGCTTTGTGGCTGATAAGACCTCAGTTACACTTCTCACTGATCCTTCTTTTCTCTCTAAGAATCAATTACCTGATAAAAGCTTCTGCAGGTAATCAGGTGTTGTGTCCTGTGAGAACCTTGCTTTTGTACCTAGCTTTATCAGCAAAAGTAAGACCTGCTGGTTCTTCTAGGTTGTTCATTCCGATTAAAAAAGGAATTTCTGACATTTCTGCTAAAACCATTTCTACCTGGATTTGCAATGATTTGCAATACTGTCATGTTGGCCTATAAGTCTGCTTCATCTGAAGTTTTAGCTCAAGTTCATCAAGTTAAAGCTCATGAAGTAAGAGCCTTAACCTCTTCTTGGAATATTTTTAACTCCTCCTCTATGACGGAAATCATGTCAGCTGGTTTTTGGAGGTCAGATAGTGCCTTCTACTTCTAAAACCACTATTTACGCTCTATACCTCTTCATTGTGACAACCTCTATTCTTTAGGACCTTTAGTTGCTGCTCAACAGGTTGTTTTTCCTCCTCCTAGTCAGGGGGATTCAGCGCTTCGTTAAATTCTGTTTATCTAAATTTATGAAGGTGAGGTATTTAATGTAATAAGAATTAAATTTTTAGAATTAAAATTTAGTTTTGTAAATTAAATACTCATCTTCATAAATCAGAGGTCCTGCCCCCTCCCCTTCATCCCCCTTGGTGCCTGGCACTTCAAGGAACAAATGATGAAGGTTTATGGCGCGCATGCATCAGGTGGGAGAGGTTGTCGTGGGGGTATGGTTCTTTTTTCTGGCTGGTTTCCGGTTGAATAATGCAGCGAGTGGACTGATATCTAAATTTATGAAGGTGAGTATTTAATTTACAAAACTAAATTTAATTCTAAAAATTTGATTTTGGAGCTTCAAACAGTGTAATTACAATACACTAATAGGATATACATTAAAATTATATTGGTGAAGTGTGAAATTTAGTGTTGTCTGGGTTCAGTTTGGACTGACTTAACTGCACAATGTTTTATTAAGGCCCTCAGATGAAATGGCCGAAGGCTTATAGTAATCATCTTGTCTGTATGTCACAAAATAGTTTCTGCTCTCTTTTTTTTTAAACTCCTGGAGTTCAGTGATGAAACTTGACATGATTATTCACCACTACCAGAAGGTGTGTCACATAAGTACAAGGAGGAAATTGTAAACTGAAAGTCATAATCAACTTAGACAGCAGTGTGCATATGTACAAAAATTGTTAAAAACTTTAAATCTTCTTGGAGTTCAGGGATGAAATTTGGGACAAATTACCACTACTAGAAGGTGTGTCACATATACAGAAGAAAACCTTACATTGAAGGTCATGGTCAAAAACTTGGTTCAAATTAGTCACTTCAAAGTTAGCTAGAAACCACAAAATCAATTTGTGTGCTGCATGATAGTCATAAAATGATGTTATACCTCACTCTTATAAAGTGGGGCTATATTGCAATTACTATGTCCATCTCTGTGTTCTTCTGTCTGTTCATTCATCCAACAAATACTTTTATCATACTTATCTCAGGAACCACTATAAAACAGAACAACTTTTTGAAAGCAGCTTAACAGTGATGAGTTTGTGTTTTAATGTAAATTCAGAAATTATTGCGTGCATTTATTATTGCGATTTTTCAAGAATGTACAAAAATGCGAGACTAATTATTGTGATTTCCGGGAAATCTGTATGTATTAGATATCTGAATGCGAGTTTTTTATTATTGCGATACTCATCTAGTCGCATCATTCCCAATAATAAAAACTTCGCAATAATTTATGAATTTACAGTAATTAAAAGTTGTAAACTTCTGTAAATTGAGAAATTATAGCGTGCATTTATTATTGCAAATTTTGTAGAATGAACTAAAATGCGAGATTAATTTTTGCAATTTCAGCAAAATCTGCATACAGTTTATGTATCAGATATAAGAATGCGACTTCTTATTATTGTGATACTAATTCAGTCACATTATTCGCATTAATTAAAACCTCGCAATAATTTCTGAATTTACAGTATTTGCTTTAAATGATATGTGTGTGAAATGGCAAATGAACAGAATACAAGCAACATTATCTAATTACAGGTCAGGTTGAAAGATATCCAGTGACAGATAATATTCATATTTTGTAAGTTAGTATACTGAGTAAGTGGGTATGAATACACTGCATGTTGTTGCATTCTAGATCTGAAACAATTTGTTTTCAAAATTTACCAAAATTAAGTTGTTGTCCTATACTCATTAAATATTGGTTGTGACACTATATAGAAGATTTCATACAACAGGGACCACATGATCATGTGCAATTGCCAAAAGAAAAACATCAGAATTGCTTTAAACTATAAATTAGGGAAATGATATATATCCCACACAATACAAGATGCAGTGATTCAGCAACAACAGTATAATTATAACCTTTTATCAATAAGTCTATTATTCCAAGAAAATGAAATGTGACTGCATGACATGTTTTATATTTTAGTATAACATATAATCCAATTCATCAAGTTGCACAGGTCCATAATATTATATGAATGTATTATTTTATCTCTATGCTTATTGCATCACAGATTTTTCATGTACTTACTTCCTTAGTTTAAATGTGTTGACAGGGTCAAAGTAGATAAAGATGATGAGAAGAAAGTCTTTAAAGTAGATTTTGGAATGAAGCTGTGCATAGGAGGAAGCTGTATATTTGATGATACAATGTTTGTGCAGAATATGGAGATTCCAATCCCAATATGTAATGACAATTTTACATGGCCAGGTAAAACCCTTGCTTAGTGGGTTTATGCAATAATGTTTTCATTGTTTGTCTGTTTCAATAAAACTTCAATCTTTAGAACATATATTATGTAACCTCTATTTTTTTTTTTATCTAAATGTTTTTAGCTCACCTGGCCCAAAGGTTTCCTCATCACTTGGCGTCCGGCGTCCGTTAACTTTTACAAAAATCTTCTCCTCTGAAACTACTTGGCCAAATTTAACCAAACTTGGCCACAATCATCATTGGGGTATCTAGTTTAAAAAATGTGTCTGGTGACCCGGCCAACCAACCAAGATGGCCGCCATGGCTAAAAATAGAACATAGGGGTAAAATGTAGATTTTGGCTTATATCTCTGAAATCAAAGCATTTAGAGCAAATCTGACATCGGTCCATCATCCAAGATGGCCGCCAGCGGGGGACTTAGTTTAACATCGGACCCTATGGGATATACATACAAATGTCTTCTTTTAGAGAACCACTGAATGGAATGAAACCAAACATGGCATGAATGTTCCTTATGAGGTGCTGACCAAGTGTTGTTACTTTGCAGTCGGTCCATCATCCAAAATGGCCGACAGCAGGGGACTTAGTTTAACAAAGGACCTATGGGAAATACATACAAATGTCTTCTTTTAGAGAACCACTGAATGGAATGAAACCAAACATGGCATGAATCTTCCTTATGAGATGTTGACCAAGTGTTGTTACTTTGTAGCCGATCCATCATCCAAGATGGCCGCCAGCGGGGGACTTAGTTTTACATAAGACCCTTTGGGAAATACATAAAAATGTCTTCTTTTAGAGAACCAATAAATGGAATGGAACCAAACATGGCATGAATGTTCCTTATGAGATGTTGACCAAGTGTTGTTACTTTGCAGCCGATCCATCATCCAAGATGGCCGACAGCGGGGGACTTAGTTTAACATAGGACCCTATGGGAAATACATACAATTGTCTTCTTTTAGAGAACCACTGAATGGAATTGAACCAAACATGGCATGAATGTTCCTTATGAGTTGCTGACCAAGTGTTGTTACTTTGCAGTCGATCCATCATCCAAGATGGCCACTAGGGGGGGGGGGGGCTTAGTTTAACATAGGACCCTATGGGAAATACAAACAAATGTTTTCTTCTAGAGAACCACTGTATAGAATGAAACCAAACATGGCATGAATGTTCATAATACAGGTGCTGATGAAGTGTTGCTACTTTGTTGCCGATTTACTGTTCAAGATGGTCACTCGGATTTTTTACTAAATTACGGTGCCAGTATTAAACCAAATTTGGCCTCAATCATTATTAGGGTATCTGTTATGATTTTAATCTATTTTTACATGATTTCCAAAACCAAAGTATAATCAGGTGTTATTGCCCCTGAATTGATGATTTTAAGGAAATTTTGCAGTTTTCGGTTGTTATCTTGAATATTATAATAAATAAAGATAAACTGTAAACAGCAAAAATGTTCAGCAAAGTAAGATCTACAAATAAGTTTTATATGACCAAAATTGTCAATTGACCCTTTAAGGAGCCCTTTAAAGACAATTTTTCACAATTTGTTCATCTAGTTTGCTTACTTTAAAAAATCTTCTCCTTCGAAACTGCTGAATCAATTTCAGCCAAACTTGGGCTGAATGATTTTCAGAGTATCTAGTATAAATTTTGTATTTTATTCCCTTGTACATCAAGAAACATAGCCACTATGGCTAAAATGGAACATAGGGGAAAAATGCATTTTTTTGCTTTTGAAGAAATTTGACAGATACAAAGAACATTTAAATGGCATTTTTAAGCCACTCATTAATATATATTGAAAAGCAAAAATAATCATTGATGAAAGATTTAAGCAAAAAATTACAGGTGAGCGATTCAGGCTCTTGAGAGCCTCTTATTTGGGTTTCAAATAATTTGTAAAAATTACTGTCCATTATAAATCATTTAATAACTCAATTAAATAAACTAAGGAGAGTTCATAATTTATTCAAATGTAAATATATGACAAAGTCGATGAGAAATTGTTTAAAAAGTTAATGTCTCTCCGTCAGTCTGTCCATCCGTCTGTGCATCCGTCGAGTCTTGTTACAATTCTTTGCAGATTTTAATAAAACTTATATCATAGGTTTATATTAGCAATGTTTGGAACAAGTTCGAAAATCAGAACAAATCAATTATTTTTAAAAGAGTTATGCCCCTTGGAGATATTAATTATTTGGAAAATTGCATCGTTAGCGCTCTCAGGTGTACAATTCTTGACAGAATTTTTTGAAATTTATATCATAGGTTTATATCAGCAATATCTTTGACACTTTCGAAATAAGTGCTTATAAAATATTTTTAATGAATTTATGCCCCTTAGAAATATTAATTATATTGTGAATTTGCTCTGAAGCATTCATTTCTCTAAGATATTTATCAACACTTTAAAAGAACCAAAAAAAAGTTGTTTATACGCCCGTTTTCAGAACGTATTATGGTATACCGTTGCCTGTCTGTCCGTCCATCTGTCTGTCTGTCCATCTGTTGTCAACATGTCGGAAAATAACTCAAAAACTATTTTACCAATTTGCATGAATCTTTGATGAATTGTTTATATCTATTGACATGAGCTTCCTTTTGATTTTTATAAATTTTACATTTTACATTTCCGAGTTGTAAGGGTTTATTCATTAAAAAGGGGGATTTTCTAGTTTTCTGACAATAACTTTAAATGCTTTGAGCAGTTTTCTTGAAACTTTGGTGAATTGTTTGATGTAAGCATATTTAATTTTTACACATTTCAGATTTTGCATTTCCGAGTTGTGAGATTTTATTCATGTGCTTTGAGCAGTTTTCATGAAACTTTGGTGACTCATGGCGCAGCCCTCTATTTAGTTATTGCCCTTGATCCTTGAATTGAAGAAATATGTGCAATCCAGGGGACATTGGAACTCTGTTCTTTAATCAATCTGCAATTAATTTGCTGGAATAAATTTTATTTGTAGGAATAAATAAAACATAAAATACTTATGGAATAATATGCACTTGTTAATAATCTTTTACTCAAAATTGTCATAAAGGAGTAGGGGCAATAAGGCCATCATTTGGCCCAAATATTAGTTAATATTAGTTCAAACTAAAAAAGTTATCATACATATTCTTAAATTTGTCCTAACAAGACTAAGGTGCAAGATATTCAGAAAATAAAAACAAATTTCAAATTTAGTGCATTACCATGGCAACAAACTATGATGAAAATAGTATATTTTGTCAAATTTCTCAATTTTCCTTGTTTTTCATCAAATTTTAAGTATATTTTAGTTTGGCAAAGTATGCGCACCCAAGAAACAACTTTATATTTGGTGAGATTATGCAACAATTAATCAAAATGAAACTTGAATTTCTTTTTAACATAAATGACTTTTTTGTACTGAACCGTCTTTATATTTTATTTTTAGGTGGGAATTCTATTTCTGATATGGTGGATGCTATTGGTGGAAGACTAACAGCAGAAGCATTTAATATCATTTTAAGAAAGCTGGGAATCTATGTTAGTATTAATTGTTACTGTAGTGATAATACTCAGTGTTGCAAAGAAAATGAGAAAAAACTTTTAAGGAATTACTGTTGTTCCTCAATACTGGTGATTTCACTTGCTTAAATCAAATACACCTTTGTATCATGACCATCAAATGTAAATGAGTGGAATGCGGTTTTCAGCTGCACTTGACATTTTGTGTCTTAAACCTGGAACCGATGCATGAATTGATCTATTTGTTCTAGCCTAAAAAATATTTTCTTTTCAAGTTATAACACACAACACACTTGTCATTCTTTATTTTTTTCCAGAGTATTTTAACAGACACTTCAGCCTGTGATTTACCTGAAATGGGACAAGGTACATTTTTTGGATTTTGGAAGATCTCTTCTGTATTAATTATATTGATTATCAACTTGCTTAATATTTCAAACTACAAAATGTGAAGTGTAACAAGCCTTTAAAAATTTAAAATTTTAACTATGAAGGGTGAATACATATTATTGTAGTCAACAGGGTTAAGTGGTAAAAGCATCTGATTCAAAGGAAAATACTGCATGCAATTTTCAAAACAGAAATATTACAAGAGACAAATTAATTTGTGGTAAATCCAAATGTATCCAATAGGTTAGAACCAATTTAAATGCACATTGAATTAGAGAAATAAATATATCAAATGAGAAAAATGCACTACTATAAATTGTTTCGAGGTTTATATTAATGCGAATGATGCAACTGCTTGAGTATCACAAAAATAAGAACTTGCATTCTGATATTGGATATATATATCTGAATGGAGGTTTTCCTAAATTCGCAATAAATAAACTCGCATTTTTGTACATTCTTCAAAAATCGCAATAATAAATGCATGCAATAATTTCTGAATTTACAGTAATTGTTTTCATATGATAAGTTGTAGAAAATTTCTTTTCTCTACCAGTTTTATGACTTAATTGTTTATCATGAACAGACATATACATAATTTGAAAGAAATGTAATCTTAGAATTATCATAAGTATAACAAGTAAAATTAAAAACCAATTGTTCAAAGAACAATTGAAGGTCTTTCCACCCTTTTTGCACATGTTTTGATGGGAAAATATTCACTTCAGGTTTAAAATGTCAATTCTGGTGACATAAAATAGCTTAATTAACACTGATTCTAAAAATATATGGTTTCTCAAAACTTTTGATTCAAATAAGGAAGATGGGTAGGTACTTCCGGTTTACAAAATTTCACTTCAGGTTTCATTAATTGAACCTTACTTCACACTGATTCCAAAAATATAAAGTTCTAGTCATTTTCACATGAAAATAATACAAAAACGGCTACTTCCGGTTTACAGAAGGTCACTTCCGATTGACCTTCTTCAAGGTCATATGTCTGAAACTCAATGTAAAAGACCTCATGACTTAATCATGTACCAATAAGAAGTTACACAAAAGGTCAAAATCTAGAACGTCAAATTCACATTTGACCTT